ACAAAAAACATATCACCAAAATTCTTCTCTACTCATGATCTGGAGAAAGAAGGGACGATCAACATTCAACAAATCAGATCCAGTGAAAATCCAGCCGATCTCTTCACCAAATCTTTACCCCCGAAGAAGTTCATGGAACTTGTACAGAAAATTGGCATGCGACGTCTTCATAATTTATACTAAATTCAGGGGGAGTATTTGAATGCACTGCACTCTTTTTCCCTTCATCAGGTTTTTATCCCACTGGGTTTTTCCTGATAAGGTTTTTAACGAGACAGTACATCCAAATACAATGACATTATAAGTCGTAATTTTTACCCCTTAATTTCACAACAAGTTTTTAAATAACAAATAACTATTCAAGGATGAACATTCAAGGGGGAGTGTTGTAAATTTCTGAGAATGACAAGTGTGAATTGTTCATCCTTGTCATCAGGACACTAATCCAATTTCCATCCTTGTAATAAACGGATGGCTAGGTTTAATGTTGCCAGCATATTATGTAGAATGATTCTTTGATGATTCATCACAAAGCTCCATCAGTATAAATAGGGGTTTGGTGATGCCTTGTAAATCTACTTAGAAACTCAGAAATTTCAGATATTAAGAAGAAGTTATTTAGAGCTTTTATTATTATATCTATCTCTTAAATCTGTTCTGCATCTTCTTCATTTCACAACAAGATTTTCAATTCTAGTTGCGGATTTAAAACAGAAAGACAAATATTAGAAATTCTCGTCTTTAGATCGGATCTCATGAGAACCCGTCCCGATATATAACAAATTAACAAGAAGATGAACTCTTCTGTAATTCAAGGCCTGCCGGCCGACCTGCTTATACATAAACATGGTGTAACTTGAAAGCTAACTTTTATTCCATTCAGGAACGTATATAATTGCAATTCAATCTTTAATGATAAAGCAATTGAGGAATCTAAATGAGGATTTCCTATCTCACCTACTCTTACACATTTGCATAAGGTGATGATGATAGAACAATTGAGCAAGCGTGAGTCCTAAGTATGGATTACGGGATTGTGGGCTGAAAGATTGATAGGCAAATAAACCTCCACAAAGTAGTCAGAGTACAAAAGTGTGTTGTCTTTTAAAAGTATCCTTAAAGCTTCTGATGTTATCTCAAACACAAGTAAAGGAAAGAGTGCCATCAAAATAAAATGATGAATGCACATTATGAAGATTGATTTGAGTTGAATGCACATTATGAGATCAAAATTACATTCAAATGTAGACATGTAACAATAACATTTTTAAAGTAGAACTTTAAGAACCATAAAGATACAATTCGTAGAAGAGCATACATAAGCAATAAGCAGTATCAAACCTTTTGTAGAACATGTCGGATTGACCTATATCAAAATGTTGCCTTGTTGGATGGGTGGATATTAACCAAGCAATGTATTGCATGAAAACTGAATACATATGGAAATTAAATTAGATGGATTAAAGGAAAAGCCAGAGAAGAACATCTAGCTTCTTTAAGTAGACTGAAATAACTACATCAACACACTGAGTAAGTTGGTGACTTTTATATTATGGAAATCTAAATGAACATATGGACATCTGGTGAAAGAAGCGTTAGTGAAAGAAAATGCATAATTAGTACTTCATATAAATGTAGGAAGTATTTCAGGTATACTACCACTAAATTCAGGGAACTTAATGATCCATAAATGACTTCAACTGCATCTATATACGTAGTATATACTACTGATCAAATTAGGTTCCATTTACTGGACATAGTCACATAACCAAATCATCTTAGTTCAGTGCAAGAAAAAAAGATGGAAACATGATGTATTTGATGTGGACAAAGAAAATGTATTTGATGTAGGTAGACAACCCTTTAGTGTGGACCTAAATCTAAAATCAAAAATCAAGAACCGGTTCAATATTGACCGAGAATAAAAAGAAGTATCAGATAGAATATTATAAAGACTATATTTCCCTTGAAATGTAAGACCATGATAAGTGCGTAAGGAAGCACACGGCTACTGGCCTTGGCTATTTTGAGTTTTAAGATGACTTCAAGTTCTTCAGGATCTGAAGTCTTGAAATATTCTTCACATGTTCATATCCAAATTCATTCCAACCTTAGCACTACCATTAGCATCAGCTTGAATTGTTTACTTACTGAAAGATTGATGTGAATAAACTCTTACTCTACTTGAATGTAAACATTAGGTCCGAAAGTTCATAAACCACCAAGGTGAGAATATATATGAAAATAAACTAGTTTAATATATCAAAAACTAACAATTATGTAGTTAGTAAACATACTTTCCTCTTATTAATTAGTTTATCAAAAACTAAAAAAGATTACACTCAAAAATAAACTTAGTTGTTGAGGGGAAAGAAAATACCAAAAACAATAGAAATGAATTATTTCCAGCGTTGTAAGTCTACTTCTTCATCATGACATCCATGCAAGAGACCCAAAATAAATGAGCCCAGAATAGCAGTCTTCTTCTCCCGTGAGAGTGTTGCAATAAGCACAAAGTTGAAATTGTTCCTCTTCCTATCAATCTCTATGTTGCATATGAAATCCTTAGCTAATCCTTTTATGCCTGGTGGTGAATAAAAAAGGTAAAAGGTTTATTATGACAGTAAAATGAAATGTGTCAAGTAACCTGAGGTAAACTTCATTTTTGACATTTAAATGAAACGTGGCTAGTAACCAAAGGTAGAGATTGATTTTGACATTCAAATATATGTAGGGTGAAGTGGTGAGTACCTGATCGTTTACCAAATCAGCCTCATTACAACTATTTACATTTTTGTGTGAAAAGGCATATCAAGTGTATACCTGAAAAACAAAACAATCAATTTGATGTTAAAAGAAACGGAGTAAGATATTTTGATAAATATCGTTAATTTATAAAAAGAAAAAAAGAAAATGATTTCAGCTTGACTTGAAATTTAAGTCTATAATATATAACTTAAAGCAAAAGATTAAGAACAATTTACATTGATTGGAGAATAGTGGATGAGAATCTTTAAGTGGACGAAACTACGAAAGTAATACTCCGTATATGTTAAGGTACCACTACAAAATAATTCCCTTAAATTCCGACCCCTTCTAGATCCGCAAATTATACTCTGGTACCGGTATACCAGTACCAAATACGGTACCGTTTTTCTCTCTTGGAAGCACTACGAGTCTACGACGTTTTCTTTCTTTTCCCCCAAGCCTTCCAGTCATGTGATTTCTTTCTCTTAATTTTTTGTTTTTATTTTCTTCAATTCTTTTCTTCTCTCCATCATAATACTAAAAAATTAATTTTGATTTACTTATCTTTATTTTTAACTATTTAGGGGGTATTTGGATCTGATTCTCAAAATTGATTCTGCTCCTTCAGGGAGCAGAAGCAGAAGCTGAAGTGTTTGAGTGAAATTCCAGAAGCACTTCTGGAGCTCTAATTTACTCTCAGAATCAGATTTTTTAGAAGCTGAGAGGTATCAGCTTTTGAAAACTGATTCTGATTCTACTTCTTCTTTTAAAAAAGAAGCAGAATCAGAATCAGTTCCAAACACCCCCTTAAATTACAACTGAATTATACTACATAGTAAATAACAAATGTACTGCTTTTGTTTCTTAAGACTTTGCTAAGTTTGACTTGCAGAGAAAATTAAAAAAAAAAGTAAAAAATTTGTGGTTGAAATTTGTATAGAAGAGAGAGAAATGACAAAAACTACAAATTAATTGATTAAAATAAAAAATACCAAAATTTTTAGAACATCCAAGAAAGAAACTTCGTACTAAAGTTTTAAGGCAAAAGGAGCATTATGGAGTACAAAATTAATCGTGTTCCACATGAAAAATGAACTTTCTGTAATCGTGAAAATGCCATCAACTTGTATAATCACTTTTATTTATAGATTCATTGTAAAAGGTCTAACACTTGGGATTTTCAATAGGCCAAACTCTCGTCCTATCTCTTTCACAAGCTAAGCTAAGCTAAGAGACAGTCGCGAAGGGCGGGAATCAAATTAAGCTCTAACAGCGCCAAGAAGGACGATGGCCGGAAAAATGCCATCAACTTAACCTATTTAAGTGAATAATGATGATGGCTGGAAAGCTAGATGACGCAACATCCTACCACACACCCAACAATGGCTTCTGTCGCCCAAATCATCGGCACAAACGTAGAAACATTTGCTCTGTTCTTATTAACACTGCCACTCCTTTTCGGCCGGGACCGTTCGGCTTTCCGGTGGTCGGATACCTGCCCTTTCTCCGCTCAGATCTTCACCACCAATTCACAGAACTCGCCGGAAAGTACGGCCCCGTCTTCAAGCTCCAACTAGGAAGCCGACTGTGCATGGTGGTGAGCTCGCCGTCCCTCGTGAAAGAGATCCTTCGCGATCAAGATGCAATTTTCGCTAATCGCCACCCCACGGCGGCGGCGCAGCCACGTACGGCGGCCGTGACATCGCCTTTGCGCCCTCGGCAATCACTGGCGCGAAGCCCGGAAGATTTTTGTCCGGGAGATGCTGAGTAGCAAGAACATCAAAGCTTGCCACGGTCAACGGCGAGAAGAGGTCACAAAAGCGATCAGAACTCTCAAGTCAAAATCCGGTCAAGCTGTGAACATTGGGGAATTGGCTTCTTTGACTAATTAATTTAGCGACGAGAATGATTATGGGGAATACCTTAGGATGTGATGAAGAAAAGCGTGAGAAAGTTGGGGAAGTGTTTAGGGATGTGATGGGGAGATTTGTTGCTGCACTTGGGGAGCCTAATATCTCTGACTTTTTGCCATGGCTGGAAAGGTTTTACCTGCAGGGAATTCAGGCAAAGATGGTGGGTTTAGTCAAGGCTATCGGAGATATTCTTGAACCCATCATTGAAGAAGGGGAGAGAATTGTTTCTGAGAAGTCTCATACAGGTTCGACGAAGGATAACGATGATGATGGCGAGAAGGATTTTCTGCAAATTCTCTTAGAGCTAAAGGCCGGTGAAGCCAGCAATTCCTTGGACCTTGGTGCAATCAAGGCCATGTTGCAGGTACCTAGTTACTAATATAGATAGGGAATTTGGAAACTAATAATCCAACCTTTTAGCGTTTTCTTACAATAGTCCAACCTTTTCGTTGTTCATGAATAATCCAACCCTTTCAACTCATCTTCATTCACTGGTCCCTGACCGGTTGATAACATGCTATTCCAGGTTATTTTCTTATCTTTTCAAACCATTATAACATATATCTCACCTTTCACAACGATAATATTTTGCAAAGATAAGAAAATAACTTGAAATAGCAGGTCAATAACCGGTTAGGGACCAACGAATAAAGATGAGGTGCAAAGGTTGGATTATTCTTGAATAATGAAAAGGTGGGACTATTGTAAGAAGACTTCTAAAAGGTTGGTTTATTAGTTTCCATTTTCCCATATAGATATCAAGAGGGTTGTTCCTGTATATATGGATGTACAGGAAGCTCCCTACGGAAAAGCCATCAGAGGTCCTTCCCGGTGGAATTTTTTGATGAAAGTTTTTGAGCGTGTTCTTCATCAAGTCTAGTTTATCCATACCAAATTTCAGCTCAAAATTAGATCGGGAAGTCAGTCAAATAAATTCTTGAAATATACTGCACATTATATGTGCGCAGAATGCGCCATATGCTTCAAGAATTAATTTGAATGCCTTACCGAATGAATTTTGAGCTGAAATTTGGCGTGGATAAACTAGACTTGATGAAGAACATGCTCAAAAAAATTACTCAAAAAATTCTACCGGTAAGATCCTTTGATGGCTTTGTCCGTACGGAGCTTCTTGTACATCCAATATGTACAAGAACATCCCTCCAGATATCACTATTAATTAGTAATTAAACTTGCATTGCTTTGAGAGATCAGAGTTATTCCTTTGTTTTATCTCATTTTCCTAAAGTATGAGCCTCAGAAGCTATGTATGAGATTATGAGGTAGTATATATAGGATCCAGAGCCTCGGTAATGCTTTAGAGCAAGGCATGGTGCCCGACTTTTGAGAACTGTCCCATCAAAACATCAACGGTCGGAAATGTCAAGGTCCGCATCTCCAGGCTTCTCTTCTCCCATCCAATGACTCTCCGCCCGCAAGGCACTCTGCGCACGGCATAGTATCTCAATTCGTATATATATATCCCATAATGCTAAGTTTAAGTTCAGCTTTGAAACTCATTTCCTATCTTTAAGCCTTATCGTATTCTTTGTTTTAGGATATAGTAATAGGGAGGACGGACACAACAACAACGATGGTGGAGTGGGTCATGGCAGTGTTTCTTGAAAATCCAAAGGTGATGAAACAGGTCCAGAATGAAGTAGACCATATCGTCGGACTAAATTCTACTGTGGAAGAGCTCCATACACCGAAATTCACCTATTTGGACGTTGTTGTGAAGGAGACTTTACGTCTATACCCTCCACTGCCACTGCTCGTCCCTAGGTGTTCAACTGAAAATTCACAGGTGGGCGGCTACACAATCCCAAAGGGCACCAAGGTCTTTCTGAATACATATGCATTACACAGAGACCCTCAGCTTTGGGACAATCCGTTGCAGTTCAAGCCTGAGAGGTTCCTCGGACCAGGTTCAGGCTCTGGATTGGATTACACTGGGAATGATTATGTGTTTCTACCATTTGGGTCAAGAAGGAGAATCTGTGCTGGTATTCCCCTGGCTGAGAAAATGTTGTTGTACATTTTGGCCTCACCATTGCATTCCTTCAACTGGCGGCTTCCTGAAGGTGAAAAGCTGGACTTGTCGGATGAGTTCGGAATAGTCACCAAGAAGAAGACTCCATTAATTGCTGTCCTAACTCGGAGGCTATCCAACTCTTAGCTTTATCATTAAAGCTTGGAGAATGTTGATAAATCATACGGAGTGATACACTTGTAATTTCCGTATGTATGTTTACGTTTTTAGCTAGTTTTGGTTGTTTAAGTATTTCGGAAATTACACACTTTTGGTGTAATAGTTTAGTTTGTTGAATTCTTGTAATTTGTTTAGATTAGGGTCATTCTGAGCTCAAACAGGTCTACCATCACTCAAAGGACAGTTGGTGAACCCCAAAAGTGAAGGAAGGTGCAAGAGTACAAGACAAAAAGAAGGAAAAATCCTGATTTTGGTCTATACTCGGTCGAGTATATACATATACTCGATCGGGTATCTGGTTGACATTTCAAATCGGATCGGATCCGAAAACAAAGGAACATGCAGGAGAAGATTTTCCCACGTTCGAGTGTCTATACCCGATCGGGTATACTTATATACTCGATCGGGTATACATATAAAATCTACTCGAGTATTGATCGAGTATTGACCAAATTCTGATTTCTATACATACTCGATCGAGTATGTATACATACTCGATCGAGTACTCGATCCTGCACCTCAAAAAGCCTATAAATACACCTCCTTTCCTTCACTTTTAGAGCACCAATTCCTTTATACTCTTAAGCTCAGTTTAGAATAGCATTTCTCTATATTTCTTTTAGCATGTTTAGTCTCCAAATGAGGAGCTAAACTTCCATTTCTTGGTATTGCTCTTGAAGCTTGTTGATTATTAAAGTTGTGAGTTATTTTCTTAACTTCTTTTCCTTGAATATTAATTCTTCCTTTAAATACTATTTCTATATCAATGTTGGGGAGTGTTACTAAGATGACAATTAGTTAACATCTTGACATTGGTTTTAGTAATAGCTATTCCTTCCTCTATGTTAATATCGGGGAGTGTTGCTAAGATGACAATTAGTTAACATCTTGATAATTAACCATAGTAGGATTCATTCCCTTTAATATTCTTCCTTGAGTATTAATTAATTCCTATTCATATTTCATATTAATATTTTGAACATTACTTAAAGGATCAACTAGTTTTGTTTCATATATTAATTATTACTAGAAATGATCAACGAACCGATGGTTAATCGTTGATAGTTTCACTAGTAAGTAACTTCGGTTTATTAATGCACGGTCGTGGTTAATAAACTTAAGAGGGATTAATTTTGTTGGTTAAACCGAAACCGTTGTGTTGAGGTTATCAATCTCAATTGATTTCATCAAGGAGTTAAGAGATTAAATGCTACTATCAAGTAGGTATATGGCGTTGTTCTATACTTGACTAATAGTAAGGGTTATTAATGAACGGTCGTTGTTAATAACTTTCCTCGATGAATTGGATATACTCCTCGATTGAGTATTCGAGAGGAGATAAGTTATAGATATAACAATGATCGACTAAAATATATCAACAAGTGGAAAGTAGCAATGCCAAGTCACTTTTATCTTTGAATTAAATCCCATATAACTCGTTCATCTTCGTGTTTAATTTAATTAAATCACTCAACAATCAAAACCCCCCTTACTTACTATTTATATAAAAAGAGAAATATTCCTTTCCCTGCGGATACGAACCTTACTACGCTATACTACGTATTAGTGCTAGTATTGAATATTATTTTGAGTGCACTCACGACAAAGTGCACGTCACGGAGTAAGAAAGTAGTGCACTGAATTCTATGCAATGTTAGATGATTGGACTCATACTACATGTAATACTCACAATATTATTATTTATTGGGTTTAATGTGTGTCATATGCTATCTATTATTTAGGCCCTTAAATTGCTATGTACAGCCTCTAAATTAAATTTTAATAAATAAATTATTTTCAATATCTAAATTACCCCTAACCCACGAACAAAAGTTGTTTCGTCATGCTCCACCCTGATGGAGTTCTGCGAGAATTATATTACAGCTATCTTAATTCCCCTGAAAATATACAAATGTAGATCAAATTAGAGCTACCTAGTTCAAGCTTTTAGTTTAATGTCGGTGATTTCATAGTTTTAATTCTCTGTACAATCAATCCCTCAATTCTTGAAATTGCGGAGAGGGAGAAAGAGAGAGCCCGAGAGGGAGCAATGGCGGAGAAGTAGGTCGATGCCTCCAGGACCGTCGAGCGGCCCTATTGGTCTTGTGCAGGCCAAGACCGTTGCTAGATTGGAACCAATCGATTGTGAGAAGCCATGTCCATTGCTGCTTTGTGTTTTCACCGAGGTGCGAAGCATCATGCTGAGAGATGAAAAGAATAGAAAGATGAAGTCCAAATTTATACCTGGCTGGATGGATGCACAAAAAATGGCAGATTTTGGTCAAAGAGGAAGGAAGAAAAGAGTTGATCCTGTCAAATGGTTTCCGTCATGATTAACATAGCGAGGAACAAGGAGAGTGACAATTTTATGAGTACGAAAAAAGTGGTGTTGCGGTAGACCTAAAATGTTGTAGTGAGGCTAAATTCTTAAAGAGAGAACTGAAAGATTATTCATGATTGCCTTATAGCCACAACCAGGCTTGAGGTACACATTTTTGTACACACACTTGCGCACTCGTGTCTGTGAAGTGTTTTGTTTTGTCTGTATACAGACACAACTTATTTCACAGACACTTCAAATGCGTTGTGTCTGTATATAGACAAAAAAACACTTCACAGACACGAGTGTGTACTTACACACTCGTGTCTGTCTGTGTACTTACACACTCGTGTACTTACGCACTCGTGTCTGTGTACAAAAAATGTGTAACAATAGTTTTTCCATACGCATAGCCATACGTATAGTAGCAATAGTTCCATAATAGACCGAATCACTCTCTCAAAATTTAATTTCCAGATTCCAAAACACAAATAAATAAATCATACTCCGTAATAATACAACTGCCACTAATAATTCCATAGTGCCGAACAGAACATAAAATTCATTGTTCAATGACAAATGTTCGCGCACACATGCTGGGATGTAAATCTTACGACAAAAAATATGTCTATTCATATGCAAGTGACTATAAAAACTAGGAGTTGGATTTTGGAACCGGGAACCGTAAAACCGATTGGAACCGAACCATTAACAACATCTAGGAATCGAACCGTTAACAATTAATGTCTCATTTGTAGGAACCGAACCGAAGCGGGTTATAACGGTTCGGTTTCAGGTTCCTATAAAAAAATATGTGCATGGAACCGCTAAGGAACCGTTATTAAAAAAATAAAAAATAAAATAATATTAGTATTAGTATTAGTAGTAGTAGTAATATAATAGCAATAATAACCACCACCACCACAACAATAATAAAACAATATAAGATATTTAACTAACAATTCTAATTTAATCAACGGAAAAGAAGTAATAAATATTGTACATGAGGTTGATATAATGCATTAAATATAGTTTTGTTCCATCACATAAATTTTATAAATATAAAATAACCCAAATAACTTGTAGTTGATTGCACATATTTTACTTTACTATTTTCATGATATTTCTAATTATTAGATTTATTATGTGTCAATAGAATGTAATAATGTTTTTTTATATCTATACATGCAAACTCAATGTCTTTTTTTTTTTTATGTTTTGAACGACTTGAAGTAGGCGTCCTATTTTTGCTACTATAATGACGAGTAACCTTCACCGCTCTAACACTACAACGATTTTTAATGTTTCATTATTACATGAAAATTTAAATCACTTTTGTTCTATTAAGTGTTCAAAGTTCATTAGTTAAGTTTGAGCTTTGATGTTTGAAGTAATTAGAGCTTCAAATAAAATTTTAATACTTGTGTTTTGAATTTTCGACGTGTTTAAAATTATGTGTTAATCTTAGACGAGAAAAAATTATTGTAGGAACTGGTAAAAGGAAGAACCGAACCGTTTACTACCGGTTCGGTTCCATAACGGTTCTTGATTTTTTATATAGGAACCGAACCGATTTCATTAGTTAAAACTTTTATAACGGTTCCACTCATTTTGAGTAAGAACCGAACCGGTCCCAGCCCTAATAAAAACATAATTAAGAGAACATAACCCCAACATCCCAGAACGTAATTGTGAAAATCACGTTTACAAGGGAATGAACCAACAAAGAAAACAAAATTGATTATGCCGCCATCCCAGAAATAGATCGGCGGCATCAAGATAAAATCAACACTTGATTTCTATTTAATCATCAACCGCCGATTTAGCACATGAATGACATAGGAACGAATTGCTTAAATGCAAAATAGCATTACCCATATTCCATTTAATCGGCAGATCATATGATAAAAGAAATCCCAAAAATTCAATCGTTTAAGATTGAAACAAAAGTATGAAAACTCCAAATAATTCAATATGAAGGAATCTCTGATATCAATTGTTGGAAAAAATCCGATAATACTTTGATCATCATATTGGAATTATCTAGAGAAATAATTGAGCGGAAGCGTACCTGACTCCATTAGAGACGATCTTTAGAAATCCGAGAGACGAAAGCTAGAGTTTGCGTCTTCTAGTTCATACACATCCACGAGAATTATCTTTCTAACGATGGGATGCAGAAAGACAAAATGATGTGTTCAACTAGGGACCATGACCCATCTATTTATATAGAATGCTTAACCCTAATCAGCCCATCATTAATTAGGTTAAGTCTATGGGTCTCTACACATTTGGGCCTACACCTTATTAGATAACATATTAGCTCATTTAAAATAATATTGGTAAATCTATTTACACTCATATTTTTTCTAAACATAGTCACATATTTTTTTATTAAATCAAATTCTTTTTATATGATTCCTGTTTTATCCTTCTAGCGTCTAAAGTGCTCGTAGAGTCGTAGCCCCAGCCAAAGATGAATAGAATAGAATAGAATAGAATAGAATAGAATAGAATAGAATAGAATAGAATAGAATAGAATAGAATAGATATTCCTTGTCACTCTCCTTGTTCCTCGCTATGTTAATCATGACGGAAACCATTTGACAGGATCAACTCTTTTCTTCCTTCCTCTTTGACCAAAATCTGCCATTTTTTGTGCATCCATCCAGCCAGGTATAAATTTGGACTTCATCTTTCTATTCTTTTCATCTCTCAGCATGATGCTTCGCGCCTCGGTGAAAACACAAAGCAGCAATGGACATGGCTTCTCACAATCGATTGGTTCCAATCTAGCAACGGTCTTGGCCTGCACAAGACCAATAGGGCCGCTCGACGGTCCTGGAGGCATCGACCTACTTCTCCGCCATTGCTCCCTCTCGGGCTCTCTCTTTCTCCCTCTCCGCAATTTCAGGAATTGAGGGATTGATTGTACAGAGAATTAAAACTATGAAATCACCGACATTAAACTAAAAGCTTGAACTAGGTAGCTCTAATTTGATCTACATTTGTATATTTTCAGGGGAATTAAGATAGCTGTAATATAATTCTCGCAGAACTCCATCAGGGTGGAGCATGACGAAACAACTTTTGTTCGTGGGTTAGGGGTAATTTAGATATTGAAAATATTTTATTTATTAAAATTTAATTTAGAGTCTGTACATAGCAATTTAAGGGCCTAAATAATAGATAGCATATGACACACATTAAACCCAATAAATAATAATATTGTGAGTATTACATGTAGTATGATTCCAATCATCTAACATTGCATAGAATTCAGTGCACTACTTTCTTACTCCGTATGATTTATCAACATTCTCCAAGCTTTAATGATAAAGCTAAGAGTTGGATAGCCTCCGAGTTAGGACAGCAATTAATGGAGTCTTCTTCTTGGTGACTATTCCGAACTCATCCGACAAGTCCAGCTTTTCACCTTCAGGAAGCCGCCAGTTGAAGGAATGCAATAGTGAGGCCAAAATGTACAACAACATTTTCTCAGCCAGGGGAATACCAGCACAGATTCTCCTTCTTGATCCAAATGGTAGAAACACATAATCATTCCCAGTGTAATCCAATCCAGAGCCTGAACCTGGTCCGAGGAACCTCTCAGGCTTGAACTGCAGCGGATTGTCCCAAAGCTGAGGGTCTCTGTGTAATGCATATGTATTCAGAAAGACCTTGGTGCCCTTTGGGATTGTGTAGCCGCCCACCTGTGAATTTTCAGTTGAACACCTAGGGACGAGCAGTGGCAGTGGAGGGTATAGACGTAAAGTCTCCTTCACAACAACGTCCAAATAGGTGAATTTCGGTGTATGGAGCTCTTCCACAGTAGAATTTAGTCCGACGATATGGTCTACTTCATTCTGGACCTGTTTCATCACCTTTGGATTTTCAAGAAGCACTGCCATGACCCACTCCACCATCGTCGTTGTTGTGTCCGTCCTCCCTATTACTATATCCTAAAACAAAGAATACGATAAGGCTTAAAGATAGGAAATGAGTTTCATAGCTGAACTTAAACTTAGCTTTATGGGATATATATACGAATTGAGATACTATGCCGTGCGCAGAGTGCCTTGCGGGCGGAGAGTCATTGGATGGGAGAAGAGAAGCCTGGAGATGCGGACCTTAACATTTCTGACCGTTGATGTTTTGATGGGACAGTTCTCAAAAGCCGGGCACCATGCCTTGCTCTAAAGCATTACGGAGGCTCTGGATCCTATATATACTACCTCATAATCTCATACATAGCTTCTTAGGCTCATACTTTAGGAAAATGAGATAAAACAAAGGAATAACTCTGATCTCTCAAAGCAATGCAAGTTTAATTACTAATTAATACTGATATCTGGAGGGATGTTCTTGTACGTATTGGATGTACAAGAAGCTCCGTACGGACAAAGCCATCAAAGGATCTTACCGGTAGAATTTTTTGAGTAATTTTTTTGAGCATGTTCTTCATCAAGTCTACTTTATCCACGCCAAATTTCAGCTCAAAATTCGATCGGTAAGGCATTCAAATAAATTCTTGAAGCATATGGCGCATTCTGCGCACATATAATGTGCAGTATATTTCAAGAATTTATTTGACTGACTTCCCGATCTAATTTTGATCTGAAATTTGGTATGGATAAACTAGACGTGATGAAGAACATGCTCAAAAACTCTCATAAAAAAATTCCACCGGGAAGGACCTCTGATGGCTTTTCCGTAGGGAGCTTCCTGTACATCCATATATACAGGAACAACCCTCTTGATATCTATATGGGAAAATGGAAACTAATAAACCAACATTTTAGAAGTCTTCTTACAATAGTCCCACCTTTTCATTATTCAAGAATAATCCAACGTTTGCACCTCATCTTTATTCGTTGGTCCCTAACCGGTTATTGACCTGCTATTTCAAGTTATTTTCTTATCTTTGCAAAATATTATCGTTGTGAAAGGTGAGATATATGGTATAATGGTTTGAAAAGATAAGAAAATAACCTGGAATAGCAGGTCATCAACCGGTCAGGGACCTGTGAATGAAGATGAGGTGCAAAGGTTGGATTATTCATGAATAACGAAAAGGTGAGACTATTGTAAGAAAACGCTAAAAGGTTGGATTATTAATTTCCATTTTCCCTATCTTAACTAGGTACCTGCAACATGGCCTTGATTGCACCAAGGTCCAAGGATTTGCTAGCTTCACCGGCCTTTAGCTCTAAGAGAATTTTCTGAAAATCCTTCTCGTCATCATCATCGTTGTCCTTCGTTGAACCTGTATGAGACTTCTCAGAAACAATTCTCTCCCCTTCTTCAATGATGGGTTCAAGAATATCTCCGATAGCCTTGACTAAACCCACCATCTTTGCCTGAATTCCCTGAAGGTCAAACCTTTCCAGCCATGGCAAAAAGTCAGAGATATTAGGCTCCCCAAGTGCAGCAACAAATCTCCCCATCACATCCCTAAACACTTTCCCAACTTTCTCACGCTTTTCTTCATCACATCCTAAGGTATTCCCCATAATCATTCTTGTCGCTAAATTAATTTCAGTCAAAGAAGTCAATTCCCCAATGTTCACAGCTTGACCGGATTTTGACATGAGAGTTCTGATCGCTTTTCTGACCTCTTGTCGCCGGTGACCGTGGCAGGCTCTGATGTTCTTGCTGCTCAGCATCTCCCGGACAAAAATCTTCCGGGCTTCGCGCCAGTGATTGCCGAGGGGTGCAAAGGCGATGTCACGGCCGCCGTACGTGGCTATGCGCGCCGCTGCCGTGGGGTGGCGATTAGTGAAAATTGCATCTTGATCGCGAAGGATCTCTTTCACAAGGGACGGCGAGCTCACCACCATGCACAGCCGGCTTCCTAGTTGGAGCTTGAAGATGGGGCCGTACTTTCCGGCGAGATCTGTGAACTGGTGGTGAAGATCTGAGCGGAGAAAGGGCAGGTATCCGACCACCGGAAAGCCGAACGGTCTCGGCGGTAACCGGTTAATTGACTTGAATGGGTTTCCGTTGAAAAGCCGCCATAGGGAGAAAAGGAGTGGAACTGTTAATAAGAACAGAGCAAAAGTTTCTACGTCTGTGCCGATGATTTGGGCGACGATAGCCATTGTTGGGTGTGTGGTAGGATGTTGCGCGCGTCGTCTAGCTTTCCAGCCATCATCATTATTCACTTATATGGGTTAAGTTGATGGCATTTTCCAGCCATCGTGTCCTTCTTGGCGCTGTTAGAGCTTAATTTGATTCCCGCCCTTCGCGACTGTCTCTTAGCTTAGCTTAGCTTATGAAAGAGATAGGACGAGAGTTTGGCCTATTGAAAATCCCAAGTGTTAGACCTTTTACAATGAATCTATAAATAAGAGTGATTATACAAGTTGATGGCATTTTCACGATTAAAGAAATGTTCATTTCTCATTTGGTACACGATTAAAGAAATGTTCATTTCTCATTTGGTACACGATTAATTTTGTAGTCCACAATGCTTCTTGTTGTCTTAAAACTTTATCATCTTGTTTGAGATGTCCAAAAACTTTGTTATTTTCCATTTTAATCAATTAATTTGTAATTTCTATTATTTCTCTCTTCTACACAAACCTGGACCACACTTTTTTACTTTATTATTTTCTGCGCCGATCAAACTTAGCAAAGTCTTAATAGAGAGAGGGGACGAGGGGTACATAAGTTTTTTTTTTTACAAAAAGCTTAGAAAAAATATTGATGATAAAACATAGTTATGATTATGAAATACAATATACTTATTTTATGATGAATAAAATTTGTAATAAATTGATAAATAATAAAGTTAATTTAGTTGTAATTTAATTAGTAAAAAATAAAGATAAGTAAAATCAAAATTAGATTTTTAGTATCTTGATGGAGAGAAGAAAAGAATTGAAGAAAATAAAAACGAAAAATAAAGAGAAAGAAATCACATGACTAGAAGGCTTGGGGAAAAGAAATAAAACGTCGTAGTGCTCCCAAGAGAGAAAAACATTACCGTATTTGGTATGGTATTCTGGTACCACAATCCTAGTTAGTTTTTTTCCATTTTAAATGTGTTTTAAACACGTACCGTTTTTTTGACCAAAAAAACACGTTTAAAAAGGGGAGAAATGTCGGTCCGTTTAAAAAGGAAAAAAACTCCTACTTCCCGTATAAAACATATTTTTCCCGTATTTTACAAAAACATAAACATGAATTGACCAATTGAATGAATGCACTAAATGCATAGAAGATCAACAATAATGTAAAAGTAAAAATGAAAACGTCCACCCTATGATCTCGTGTTTTTGTATTGTTACAGTGCAATTATTAAATACTAAAATTAATTGCATGATGGCTAAAGCTAGCATCCTGAAATACTAAAACTTACGTAGTAATATACTACAAGATTTCTGATGTTTTTTTGAAGCTGGAAAATCAAAATTAAGATTTTTCTAAACCTAACGTTTTTTAACATAAGCTTTTACACAAACAATAATAAGTGTAGCAATCACACAACTTTTGTCATATGTCATCTTAATGAAAATGATGAGTTTAACTTGAGTATTATTATTTGATGATCATATAAAGATAATGATTTTTTGACATTATTTTTCATAATTATGTCCTAGACTTGATTACTGTTTTTATTTTTGTCATCGACTTATGCAATTATGAACTATTCTTGTATGTAGTAATGGGATTTGCTACTTGAATATGTGTATACTTTTATTTCTTTTTTTACTATATATGTTATTTTATGAAATATATCATTTAGATGTTCGAAATAATACCCGTATTTTTCGTCCGAATTTTTGTAGTAGATAACGTATTATACACGCATATGTATTTACATGTTTTTTAAAAGTCAACGTTTTTTTCAACGAATTTTTGACCGTCTTTTTCATTCATGTTACCGAATAAAACGCGTACGTATTAAACCTCGTTTAATTCCCGTACCGTATTTAACTAACATTATTGATAAATGATGAAATTACTTAGCTTTTTTAAACGAGGTAGTTTAATACGGTATTTACTGACAAATGATGAAATTACTTAGCTTTTTTAAACGAGGTAGTTTAATACGGTATTTACCGTATTAAAATGCCGTATTTAACTGACAAATGATGAAATTACTTAGCTTTTTTCTTAATTACTCTTTCTGCATGAGTCTCATTGTGTTGTTGACCTTACTGTGTGAGCCTTAACTATGAATATGCCAAACTGCATATGCCACCCACTTTGAATAAGTGTAGGAGGCTATGTCTTTGTATTTGTGGTCTTTGCTAATGATGATAGGGCTCAACTTACACTAATCTGAGGCACTGCACTTAGAGTACTTGCCCTTTGTGTGCTTAGCTTACTACTTCTACTGATGATGATGGGGGTTGTGTGGTTACTGAATGAGTAAACTGATGATGGTCCCACATTTAAAGCCAATTTATGTGCTGTTGCCTTAACTACATGTGCCACCCTCTTTGATAAGTGTAGGAGGCTATGTGTTTGTATTTGTGCTATTTGCTAATGATGATAGGGCTCAACTTACACTAATCTGAGGCACTGCACTTAGAGTATTTGCCCTTTGTGTGCTTAGCTTACTGCTTCTACTGATGATGATGGGGGTTGTGTGGTTACTGAATGAGTAAACTGATGATGGTCCCACATTTAAAGCCAATTTATGTGTTGTTGCCTTAACTACATGTGCCACCCACTTTGAATAAGTGTAGGAGGCTATGTGTTTGTATATGTGCTTTCTGACTCCTATGTCTACTTGCTTGCACTTCAAATGTCCCTTAACTGCATATGCCACCCACTTTGGTTAAGTGTAGGAGGCTATGTGTTTGTATATGTGCTTTCTGACTACTATGTCTACCTGCTTGCACTTCATATGTCCCTTAACTACAAATGATGATTAATTGTGTGAGTTAGATGGTGCATTTGTGTGAGTTAGATTTTTACCATTGACCTCATAGCACACATGTCTGCCAATAAGTGTACAACAACATTAGCAAAAAAAAATAAACTACACTGCCTCTACATTTTGATATTGTAGGCTAGGCATGCATGGCAGTACATACATAAATTGTATACTTCCCCTACATGTAAAGATGTTCCTTTGAAAGTGTACATACAAAAAAGCTGTCCAATAGTAGTAGTGTACATAAAAAAAATTGTACACTTCCCTACATACAAAAAACATGTCCTTACCCAGTTCATTCTTGATGATGAGCCTCATCATCAGTTATGAACTGAGATTCACTTCCCCGCATCTCTTGTGATTCTTCCCCTTGTGTTTGCATCTCAATGAGATTCTGCCTAGCTTCATCCACCAAACGTGGATTGATTTCCATATTCTCTGGCAACATCCCCTGTCTGTCAAGCTTATCCTTACCAACATGTTTTAGCTTAAAATGATTTCCACCCTTGTGCATCAGTATTTGTTCCATCACACACTGATAACTTAAAAACACTTTGTTCAAAGTATAAGGTGTGAGCTCATGAAAAGCATCTGTCACAGCTTCAGTTAATTCAAAAATAGTTTTAGGGGATTTCTGTTCCTTCAGTGTATCAATTGCACGAAAAAAACCTAAGTCTAGGACATTTAGGTCTGGGCTGTTAGCTGGCTGGTAAGAAAGTTTTATATTCCAGCCATCACGACTTGCTGCCTCCATAAAGTCTGCATCATCTAGCTTAACATGTGGCCTTGCATTATCTTGTTGAATTATGATGTTTCTATTATCTGCATCTGGCCATTTAGCTTTGAGTGCTGGTAGAACTTTGTGTAGCAGCATCTCCTTAATAACATCTCTGGTTACTTTTAATGCGGGTTTAGTCTCTAAAGTGCCTGCTGGTCTATTTCTACTAGCCCTTTTTGCTCTTTCCTCATATGTGAATGGAAATATACCTACCTTTCCATCCCACAACACTGTCCCATTGGCCCCAAACCTAGGCCTACCTACAACTGCTAAAAACATGATTTTGGGTATAAATCTTTTTGATTGGGCAGATCTGTAGGGGTCAGGTTCACTGGGATGAGTGTAGTATGTTGTGGTTTCTTTTGATAAAAAAAACCACTTCTCATTTATGTGAATATGATCAAAGAAATGATGAAATGTGGAGTTTAAGGGCATAGGCCTAGGCACTACATGAGAAAGGCAGAACTGTAACCTCTTGATTTTACCAGCATGTGTGAGGAATGGCTTTATGGCATTGGAATGTCTCTTTATTTGCTTAGCTTTGACTAATCTGTGCACAGAACTCTTTGAGATGTTAAGGGCATAACCCAAAGACCGGATGTTCTTTCTCTTATGAAGTGGAATGACTTTTAACTGCTCCATGTCAAAAACTACTGTCTTCCTTCCCAAACTTCCCTTAAATTGGCTTTGAACATTAATTGGGACCCCATCATTCAGTTGGCTATGAGCTCGGACCCACAATTTGTTCACAGTACGCCTAGAACAGTTGAACTGTGTAGCCGTTTTTCCCACAATGCCCCTCTGAAGTTTCCCATTATGATAATGACTTAAAAGTATTTCCACCAAACTGCTTTTCTCTGCATTACTTAGCTTACTTGTTCTGCGACTTGCAGTGTCACTTTCTTCATTTGTTTGTGCTTCAGGTACAGCAGGAGTAGCAGTTGCAAATAGTGTTGAAGAAGGTGCAGTCTGAGTTGGGGTAGCTGCAGGAGGCTCATTTCGGACAAAGAGAGACAAAGATAGATCCATGAGTGTAGTAAATGTGGTAGATGAGGTAGTTGTAGGCATTTAAAAAAAAGGAATGGAGGGAATTTTGAATTTTTGGTGTACTTGCAGCATTAACCCTCCAATTTTTTGGAGGGTTTTGTAAGCATTCGTACGTATAGGGTAGCTTTCTGCCCTTGTAAAACAATCACATCATTAATAAAGTTTTTACCCCATTTATTTGATTGTTTTTACCCCCCTTTCCCTTCTTTTTCTTTTCGGGTTTTGGCCAGCACGTGTGGGGGTGGGAGGGCATTTAGGGAAAGTCAACTGTAAAATAACTTTTGCATAAAAATGTGTGAGGGTCAAAGTGGGAACATTCCACCGGGACGGAGGGAGTACAATATATTACACGTTATACTATATTATATATATTTATATATATTTAAATATTTAATAATTATATTATACACACATATGTATATATATTATACATAAGAAGTTATCAAATAGCAAAGAAGATAGGAAGATTTTTTACTATCCGTAAACCTCATTTTTATCTCAAAGTTGGATTTCATGTAAGACAAATTGCACCTTAATCTCAATATTTGGAGATAATAGTACATATTAGTCACTGACATAAAGACATTACTTTCCCGACACCATTTAAAAAAATCATTAGCATCGGTCATTAAACACAAATCTGATATTTTG